GCTACAGAGGTGTGATGTCACGCCGACCGGTGCCACGAGGGCCCCGGCGACCATTTGCATTTTTTACTTGTATGGTCAGTATCTTTCTTGCTCCTGCCTGTATTGTTTTTGGGGAATAAATACTCCTTGCCATAAGGATATTACACTATTTGGGCCTCCTTTGTTCTTTGAGCTCCGATGGGAGCCATTCACATCTGCAGAGCGGCCATCTCCATACGTGGCAACATTATCAAGCGGCGAGGGGCATTTGACCAGATCTGACCAGACCCATATTAGGATCCTTGATGTCCTGAAGGTATCTGCTTTTAATGCGCATTGGGATTGCGTATCTGGTGAGTGCGCAATCCTTACATATTTATCACCTCATCCACGGATCCAGCTATTGGATTTCTTGAAGATCATTTGGGATCTTTCCTGATCACACCATAGACTGCATTTTGGTTTAGTGTCCAATCACCTATAGTCACCAATAGGTGACATTTTTATTTTGCACTTTAAAATTGTTTTATTATGCTGTTCTATGGGTTTTGGCATAAAGATGTTTATATGTTTTTATATGTTTTAAACACAACATTTTAGCGCTGCACCTTGCTTTATTTTGAAAAATTATATATTGCTCACGTATGCCATGGGTAAATGTGAAATAACACCCCAAAACACGATCTGCTACTTCTCCCGAGTATGGAGATACCACATGTGAGAGACTGTTGGGCAGCCTATCCACATGCAGGCTCCCAAAATCCAATGACCGCTTTGATTTTCTCATATCACTTCCTCACTACCCATCAGTTTCAGAGGCCCTAAAATGTCAGGATACTACAAACCACCCCCCAAATGACCCCTTTTTTGGAAAGTAGACAACCCAAGGAATTTCATAAGAAGCATGCTGAGAGTATTTTTAGATATTTTTGTCACAGGGTTTTGAAAAATAAAACAGAAAAGGAAAAAAAAAAAAAAAAAAAAAATACATTTTTGTTTTCTTTCTCCCATTTTCCAAAAACCTGTGGCAACAAATAAGATCTGAAAAATACTCACCATGCCCCGTAGAAAATACCTTGGAGTGTCTACTTTCCAAAAAGGGATCATTTGGGGGGTGCTTCTACTATCCTGGCATTTCAGGGGCAACATTAGAAGCTTATGCCACACACCACCCACTCTTTTAACCACCTGAAGAACAAGCCTTTTCTGACACTTTTTGTTTACATGAAAAAAACATTTCTTTTTTATTATCACAGGGAATGTGAATATCTCCTGTGATAGCAATAGGCAATGGCAGGTATTCTTTTTTGAGAAATCTGGGGTCTATTAGACTCTAGATCTCTCCTCTGCCCTTAAAGCATCTGATCACACAAAGATCGGTGGGATCAGATGCTTTCCAAATTTAAAAATGGCGCTGTTAATATCCACGAAACAGAAATGATTAAATGCTCATAGCTTCTGGTTTCTTAGATCATATAGATGATTGGAGCCATTCTGGTCTCTGAGCAGCTCTATGGTCAGCCAGCTGAACTGCCGGCTGCATTTTCGGATTCCCCTGTAGGACAGGAACACAGTGCGGTGTTCTCCCTTCTCTCCCTGGACGAAAGGGGGGGTGGAGGGGTAGCGGGGGGCGCAGGCGCGTTCACACCCGAACTAGAAAGCGACGCAAGCCTGTGACGCTTTGCCCAAAGCCTCTGCTCGCCCACACAATGCGGGCAGGCGGTTGGCAAATACTTAAAAAAAATAAAACCTTACCTTTTTTTTTGTTAAAGTACTTTTATCAGAGTAGTGCAATGTTACCATAGTAACATTGTACTACTCTGGCGGGGGAGGAGGGGCTTTGATCAGGGATTTTTTTTTTTCTTGTTTACACTGTAAATAGAAATCATTGTTCCTGCAATGCAAAGCTTGCTTTGAACTGTCATGAATGAGTTAAGTTTATGACAGTTCAAAATAATAGTGATCTGTGACTGTCTGGAGCTGGTCACATGGTACAGGGTGCTGTAATTGGCCGATATATCATGTGAGCACTCACCAATAAGAGAAGCAGAGCTGTTATGAATCAGATTGATTCACAACAGCTTTGCTAACATTGTGATCATGCGTTCACATAGCAATCACATGATCACCAGGCCCGGATCTTCAGTCGCAGGTGGGGAGTGCTGCGCACCCGCTCGGGCATTCAGTGCCCCGTGTTAGTACAGTCAGAGCGACGTACCCATATGTCACTTTGCCTGTAGCTGCCGCCCCTCCACAGTACCGTGTGGGTGAATGGTCAGCAAGAGGTTAAAAATGCAAAATGCATCAAAAACACAACACGTGTGCGTTTTTGATGCATTTCTGCTGCATTTGCAATGCATTTCAGGCCTGGTTCACACCAATGCAGTTTGCATTTTGTCTGTTCTGCAATGCTTTTTGCAGTGCATTTCTGATGCATTTTTTGAATGCTTAGGGGTTTTTTGGCCAACTTGTTGCTGGGCAGATTAAAACCGCAAAACGCATCAAAAAAGCACTGCGGACTTGTTTCCAGGGTCCTAGCAGACCAGATCATGGTTAAGCACACAGATTAAAAATGTTGAAGGGGTGATAGGATACCACAACGACCTGCCTGGCTCAAGTCGAAGACTATAATCTTTTTAATTATACAAAAACAAAAATTAGTCTAAAAAACAGTAATGCAACATTACAATGAGAAAATATTAGATGGATTAAAATTAGATAAAATATACTGTACAATGTTTCAAAACTGTATAATGCATCTTCATGTTTTAAATGAGACCAGGGGCACTCAAAAGGCCTGGGGCATGTGCTCCTGTGTGCCAAGAATAAAGGAAGGCTAGACCACAATCTAGGATGGTTGAGAAAGGATGTAACGTGCCTGTTTCACATGGGCTTCAACTTGTATAGGAGCGGTGTGAAAAGCAAGATTTTAGGAAACTTTCAACAAGCTTCTGCAACGCTTTTATCAAGCTTCAAGCAGGCTTTAAAGTCCCCTTTTGCTCCTGTTTGCAAATGATATACACAGATCTTACTGGAAGTGCTGATTGACACAACAAACAAGCTGCTAGCAGGCTTTCCACAAGCTTAAAGTTGTTTAGCTGATTTCCATCTAGCTTACATGTACACAGCCTGGACTGGCTGTGGCTGCAATCATGATCCTGGCGTCAATTTTTTTTTCTCTTTTTTTGCAGCCAGCAATTGGCTTTACAGTAAAAGTGTTCCAAGTGGCTGTAAAGCCATCCCAACACATTTAGAGGGCTTAGAAGCCCCCCCCCCCCCTTTCATCGTGCCCAGGCTCTCTTGTTCCATAAGGGAGTGAGGGACTACTGTAAGCTGTTGGGCGCGCACAGAGGAGGAACACTCCCCCCCCCCCCCCCCCCCCCCCACTTCTGTAACGAATTAAGCCAAATTCAACGTGTATTTTGTCACTTCAGGTTGCGGCCCTTTGCTTACCTGGCCAGTAACAAACAGGGAGGTAGCCAATCCAACGGATCTGTATTTGAACCATTGCCTTGAGGTCAGAGGAGAGACACCAATACCCAAGATCTCTCCTTAAAGAGGTACTGCCCTATCAAAATGGAGGATGTTAATTCTTGTGGTAGTTACAGTTCAATGAAAAAGCAAAAATTAAAAAAAAAAAACTGTAAGAAAGAAAAAAAAAAAGTAAATCCAAAAAAAACCCCCCAAAACTTTAAAGTGGCCCATCCTGTATCCTCATGCGCAAATGCACACACATATCGTAGGTCCCGCACGCCTATGTATACAGTGATTGCACCACACATGAGGTATCGCCACAAGCATTGGAGTAAGTCTAGCACCAGAGTTCACGTGTAACTAAGCTGCTAACCTGTAAAGGCTTTTAAAGGGTCAGCTGTGAACAATTTTAGGTACCATTGTTTGTTACAATTTCAAACTTGTACAAGATTTTAAATCTTCACATGTTTGGTATCTATTTACTCAACGCAACATAATCTTTTATTTTTTACCCAAAAGTTGTGTAATATTTCCTGAAAATTAGCATTTTAAAAATGGCTGCACATATATTGTGCAACACAAAATTTCAATGACCACCATTTTAATCTACAGGACCACTGCTTTCAGAAAGTATATACTGTTTGGGGTTCAAAGTAAGTTTCAAGCAAAAAAAAAAAACCAAAAAGAGCAAAAAACAGATTTTAAACTGAGTATGTACAAAATGTCAAAAAGTAACATGGGACAGCAAGTGGTTAAAGTGGCAAACAGCACTCACATTTGGATGTGTTCAACATTTACAATCTGGAGCTGACTGGTACTTTAAAAAAGGAGACGCACAGCCAACGCTATACTTATCCTATGGATCGCAGTTAGTTCTGCACTCCTGTGACCCATTTTCAGCCATCAATGGGCTGAAGCCTGCTGTTGGGTTTCAACTTGTATAAGAGCAGTGTGAACAGCAAGATTCTAGGAAACATTCAGCAAGCTTTAAAGTGCCCCTTAGCTCCTGTTTGCAAATAATCTACACAGATCTTACTGGACGTTCTGCAATCCTGTGACCCCTTTTCAGCCATCAATGGGCTGAAGCCTGCTGTTGGCTGACATGATAGAGACTATCCAGGCTCTGAAAAGATCTTGACCATATGGTCAAGATCCACCCAGATGCCTGGCCCAGCCTCTCAGCAAGTCACTCCTTTTCCCTCCACAGCTCCCTGCTCCAGTGACCACTAGAAGGGCAGAACAGAGCAGAGTTTGTAACTGACAGTCTCTAGCTCTCTACTCACAGACTGCTGAGAACTGAGCGATCAGCGGCCTTTGATTGCTCAGTTCTCAATGCTGAATCCACCTAGGCGAGTATAATTTTTTTTCTAAATCCCTACTTTTTTAAAAGCATCAACACGCCTTGCTGAAAGCGCTGCAAATTCGTCGTAAACAAGCTTGCAGTTCACACTGCTTATACAAGCTAAAGCCTTTGAGAAACAGGCCTTAGCGAAACCACAAGACATGCAATACAAGAGCAATGGAGAGCGCGCTGGACCATTACTTACCTCCTGGTCATCTTCCTGCGGGGGTCGTTGTTGCTGAGTAATTTCTGATTCAGGATGATTAGTAGAAGCATCTTCTCTGCTGAGCTCAGAGGAGGAAGATGAGGAGGAAGGCGTCTCTCCCTGCTCCCATGCCAACATGCCGGTACCTGAGTGTTCCTCATTTTTAGTTAAGCCGTCTAACGTAGCCAAGGGCGTTCCTGTACTCGTGTCTGCCAGCGTGCCCCCCTCATACTGAAAAAGCCTAAACATCTGTCCAGTGTCACCATCTGTCAAGAACAGTCCACGGCTGCCAGAAGCCTGCAGGTCGGAATCAGAAGACCGGCTCACCATCTGCGCCTGGCCTTTCCCTATGGCTATGTGCAGGGGACAGGGTGGGCATGAGGTGGCAGTCTCTTGGTACACCTGATCGCTGGTATTCAGAGGACTATCAGTAGGGGAGGTGGGTTCTGGCTCAGTTGGCTGACAGTCCAGTGTTGGTAGGTCACTGATGAGCTCGTGCATCTGGAAAGCGCCTTCCAGGGAGTGTGTGCCTAGTTGTGAGTCCATATCCAAGGCCATCATGGTATCTGGGGTCAGAGGGGGTCTGGTGTCCATTTCTGAGTAGCTGTCTACACGAGGGGGCCCTTTGCCCAAACTGTCTGGGGAGTCTTGTTTGCAGCATGCTCCCTCACTAAAGCCGCTTTGGGGTTCCATGTCCATGTGAGGGGATGCAGACACAGTCTCCATTCTGTCCTACCGTGTGTCAGTCAGTGCGACGTGTCACATCTATGGGGTCCTGGGTCCTATACACCTTGCCTCACTTGTCAGCCCACTCCGTAAAGACTTCCTGCACCATAACTTTCAACTCTTCAGCGCTTCTTCGGTCACCTCATGTTCCTCTACTACTTCTACCGCCGCTACAACAACTTCAGCTCTCGCATTTCACCATACTATGCCATGGGACGCAGCTGTGAAACTGAGCAGGGCATGCCGGGCAATGTAGTCCCCGGAGATCAGAACTGTGGGTAACGTAGGGGCGGGGCTTATGTGTGCGTACAGCTGGGCAATAGAGTCTGGCAGCAGAATGGAGCTCCATTTTTCTACAGGAAACATGTGACCTCCACTCCCCCTTTTTATTTTTAGTGAACTTTAATGTAACAAACAAGCAGAGGCTGCAGAGCTCCACTCGACAGGAATCATGTGATCTCCAAAAAAGTTCTCCAAAAAAGGGGGGGAGTGGAGGTCACGTGTTTCCTGACGCTAATGGAGCTCCATTCTGAAGCTAGACTCCTCTCACGCTAGGACGTCTTGTGGCCGGAAAAGAATCCAAGGAGATGAGGCGGGGTTAGAGCCTTACCACCCCATAGTGCATCGCGCCACCACTGACCCGGAAGTTGGTGTAAACCATGGCTGCTCCAGCAACGTTTAGAGTTGTAGGCGCTCTGATTAGAAGTAACGGGAGCGTACAGCTACGGGGATACGCAAAGAAAGCGGGTGAGAGGGGAAGAGAACACTAACACTTCTTTTGTAGGTTCTTTGTAACAACAGATTACTGTAAAGAGAACAGTGCTTTCCATCTGTACTGTAAAGGTCAGCACACATTTCGTGCCGGTGCCCACTTCCAGCTCTTTAACCACTTCAACACCGGGCACTTTCACCCCCTTCCTGCCCAGGAGTATTTGCTGTCACACTTTGTCAATTCGGTCATGGAACACTGTACCCAAATGACATTTTTACATTTTGTTTGAGAAAAATAGAGATTTCTTTTGGTTGTATTTAAAGGATGATATTCTCAGCTAGTACTACTTTCGGGGGGTTTGGGTTAGACGTTCCACAAGTTTGCCAACTTCCTAAAATTCTGTTTTATTGAGGAACTAACAGTATCATTTATAGGGCTTATGATGCAGGCAAAGCATATACATTGATTGGGTGAAAAGTCCACTGGGTTTCTGCGTGTTCTTCCATCCGTGTTGATATCTTCCAATCATTTTCCCCAAAAAGACTCATTCCCTTTTATGGGGGTTGTTTACATTAAAAGATACTTTTTTCCTAATGAGTCACCAAGGGTGAGACTCCGGATGAAGGCGCCATCTTAATTATCATCATTGTTCTGTCAACCTATATCTGATTGTTTACTTAAGAGAGTAAGGAATTTAAAGAGCAAGAAACAGAAAGTAGCAAGACTATAAAATTGTCATTTTACTGATCATCTAATAAAACGTGGACTGTCTATCACAATCCACTACAACAGCTCTTAACAGTAAAGAACTCTTTCCACAATCTAGGGTTAAACCTCCTTTCTTTACACCTCAAATCATGGCTGCGTGTCCTCTTCAGGGACCCTAGAGTAAACAGTCTAATGCAGTTACTAGAGTTGTCTTTGATATATGTGTACATTATAATCATATCCCCACTTGAAGTGGATGTAAACCTTCACATAAACTAAGGTGACTGGCCTCAGGTGATGCACAAAGATGAAACAAATTTTCCTACATAAGTTGTACCTGTCTGTCTACAGTCGTCTTCTCTCTGCATCAGTTCAAAGTGCTGAATTTATAAAGCTTATTTGAGAGTTCAGAAAAAAGGGGACAGAAATCTAAAATTACACTTTGGAGAACTCTGAGAGCTGATAGAAGGGAAGAGACACTCCCCCTTCCACGCACCTCACAAAAACAGTGCTGAGGCTGTCAATCTGCTAGAGGTTCCTCCCCTGCCATCATTTTTCTATTGGTGTCAGGAAAACTTGTCAGAAGTGACTTATTCTGATAGCGGAGGAACGAGGCAGCAGAGACAGAAATGACACTTGGTGCTTCGGATTGAGACAAATACACACTATAGAGGGATATTCTTTGTTCAGATTTCATGTCTGAGGTTTACAACCACTGTAAGCACCTCCTTTTCCAGTGTGAATATCTGTAATCTGTGTAATCGATCTTCATACGTGAGGTCCTCCATTCCTGCTAATTATTTTGCTACCCTGCGCGGAACTCTTTCTAATTTAACAATGTCGTTCCTGATGATTAGGGACCAAAACTGAACTGCATAATTTAAAGTTAGACTAAACCAGTACCTTGTAAAGGGGTAGAGTTATCAATTTTATCTCCAATATATGCCATTTTTTTATGCATGAGATTATTCTGCCTGCTTTGTTAAGTGCAGCTTGGCATTGCTAGGTCAGTGATCTACAAGTATCCCTAAACCCTGAAGGTCTGAGCTAATGTGTATTTTGTATGTGTATATATTTTTGCACAACTTTACATTTTTCAATATTGAACCTCATCTGCCATGTAGCTGCTCTCCTTTTTTATCAAGATTTTTATAATGGATGTTTTTTGCTCTGCATAATTGGGTATTATCCACAAACACTGAAACTGAGGTTTAAAATCAACCTCTATATCATTAATAAGCAAATTGAACTCACAGCTTTAGACCATTCAGAGAATATGTCATTTATCATTACTCTTTGGACCCGTTTATGTAATCAGTTTTCCTATCCATGTACATATATTTCTCATATAATCAACACCAATAGACTTTTATTTTATAGTTTAAATGTTTTAGGTACAGTATCATATGATTTAGCAAAATCATAATAAATTGCATTCCATTGACATTCACCATCCATTTTCTTACTCATAAAATGATAACCGGTTGTTCTGACAAGAATGATATTTCATAAATCTGTGCTGGTTGTCACTGATGATATCTTTAGTGGAGACAAATTTCTGAATAGAGTCGGTTGCCATTTCCTTAACCGCCTCCCGCCCGCCATATAAGGAAATGACAGACGCAAAGCGGTTTTCTCGTCTGAGAGGACGTCATATGATGTCCTCTCACTCGTGCACAATGGGGACACAGTGGATCACCGATCAACGGAAAGAGTCAAAGACGTCGGCTCTGTCATGTGATCAGCTGTGTCCAATCACAGCTGATCGCATGTAAATAAGGAAATGCCAGTTATCGGCATTCCTCTCCTCATAAGCTGTCACGCTGACAGCTCGTGAGGAGAGGAGGTAATCGGCATTACTCAGAGGGGACATCTACACTGATGATCAGTGTGCCCTGATGATCAGTGTCACCTGTCAGTGTCCATCAATGCCACTTGTCAGTGCCCATCAATGCCACCTGCCAGTGCTCATCAGTGCCACATCAATGTCACATATCGGTGCCTACCAGTGTACATCAATGCCACATATCAGTGCCCATCTGAGCCGCCTATCAGTGCCACCTATCAGTGCCATATATGAGTGCTGCCTTTCAGTGCCACCTACCAGTGCCTCCTCATCAGTTCCCATCAGTTCAGCCTATCAGTGCCTCATTAGTGCACATCAGTGAAGGAGAAAAATCACTTATTTACAAAATTTATAACAAAAGCTAAGAAAAAATGTTTTGTTTTGTTTTTCAAAATTTTCAGTTGTTTTTGGTTTGTTTAGCAAAAAATAAAAAACCCAGAGGTGAGTAAATACCACCAAAAGAAAGCTCTATCTGTCTCAAAAAAATGATAAAATTTCATATGGGTTTTAGTATTGCATGACCGCGCAATTGTCATTCAAAGTGAGACAGCACTAAAAGCTGAAAATTGGCCTGGGCAGGAAGGGGGTATAAGTGCCCTGTAGGCAAATACCTTCCATAGTATTGGCTAGTTAGTGGTTTCCTGGTATACATTTTGATCCCTTTTTGTAAATTGGAACCACATTTGCTTTGCATCAGTCAGGTGCCATTCAAAAAGTACTAATAGTGGGTTAGCTATAACTAAGCTATGTAAGCCATCTGAACCTGGTACATGAACAGAATAGGGGAGGGATCATGGTAGAAAATACTCCTACATCCACACCAAAGAAATGGGAACAATCTATAGCAATAAAAAGAAACCACAAAGGACTAAGAAGTTATCTTGCTCTGCTATGCCTTGTATCAAACTATGTCCTTGTGGTAAACTATGCACTTTAATTTACTAACAATGCCTTTGAGATTCTGAGATGCATGAGGATTTTTAAGTACCAAGTTCAGGCAGGCAACATGTTGGTGGAGCTCATTAGAACACGCAGGGGAGATTAGACAGAGGATGACTGATAGCATTGGAACAGTGTGCTTCAGTCAAACACGTTGTAAATTGGCCCTCAATTTATCTAAGCAACTTTCCCCATTTCGAATATGTAAGAAGTCAACAATTTTTTTTTAATGAAAATTCAGACTGGGCCCCCTATTTCCTCTCTTGCCCAGGCAGGAATGATGAGTATTACTGCCACAATCTTCTGGGATATCTGCATCAGGTGTTCCAAGAGGCATCGGCATTCATAGAGTGGCTGGTCTGATCTGGCCATGGCATCATCAGGGCTGCAAGAACCTGGAAGGAACAAATGACGTCACGGGATAATGGGAGTGCAATATCCAGCATGCAGCTGCAGTGAGTAATGGGTTATAGCTGGACAGAGCTAAATTTTCTTGGTGAGTATGTTAATTAACCCTTCAGGAAAGAAAAAGACAAAATCCACCAAACACCCCTTCAGAAAAGAAAGGGAAACTGATGCAGCACACTGAAATTTAGTAACACATAAGAAATAGGTGACTTATAAAGTAGGTAAGACCAGTTGTGGTGTTTTCTTATGTTTTTTTTTTATCATATCTAGCTTAATGTGGAGAGATTCTGAGCTGCTCTGTGCAAATTACATTACACAGAGCAGGGAAGTATAACAGTTTCTTATTTTAATTTGAAGAAAAGGGAAGCTTTACAATTACTTTAACCTTCTGTGCTTATGTAATTTTAGTGCAAGAGAAAAAAAATACAATTTCAAACTACTATTTACACAGATATGTGTTTGCAGTTCTTAAAGGGAAAGGAAAAGGACTTGTCAAAGAAGTTCAAAAAGGCCCTGAAATTTGCAAAGACCCATCTGTCTTGGCCACACATGCTATGGGATTGAACATATACAAGTCTGGTTCAGATGTCCAGTTAAAGGACGATTCTCAATACCCAGAATGGTAAGTAGAACCTTTTCTGTGCAGCTTGTTGGGATCCACTTTAATCTTACATGTTTTGTCCATTCCATATTTATCACAGGCTTTTCCAGCTAAATCTTGGTCCACCTAAACCTTTGGAAGAGCGAAGTCCAGATACTCCTCAGTACTGGAAACTGCTTCGAAAACTGCACATGTGGAGGAACAACCGTCTAGCCAAAGTGAAGAAATTCTGATCAACAAATGGGTCTGCTTTGTTGTCTGTACTCTGCAGATTGTTGTTTGCCAGCAAGCCTATAAACAACTATCCAAGACTTTTCAATTAAATTATTTTTCCTAAAATTATGTCCTATTAATTGTTGACAATGAGACCTTGCATAAAAAGTAAGATTTTATACAGTTTATTAACATCTGTCACAGGCAGACAGTGCATTGGAAAGAGGGTTCCCACTCATTTCATTACCAACATTATCACATTATGTGGCACAGTATTACCTGTCACCCACGTTAACATGTGTTGCAGTAATGTTTGTGTTACTGCATTACAACGGCGGTTTTGGCCCTAAGTAGTTGGTGTGCAATGCTTTTCTTGAAGGACGTGATCTAACAACCTACTATGTATTTACTTGGCCAAATATACTTCCTTCTGGATCTTTGGCTAGAGGTCAAGTCTGTGATATCTGATATCTGAACATTCAAGAGAAGGGTAGCAAGTTGGAAAAAAAAAGTATGAGTATCTAGCTCTGATGAAGAAGGGATGCCCTTCAAAACGCGTCAGATGTACTGAGTATCTACCCCCATGATGGGATTCCCGCTGGCTCCTTATCTTTCAAGTCCCTCTGAGGACTTACATGCCTGATTTTATTCGCTGTTTGTGAGTATTATTTTTTAATTAATAAATTTTGGTTACTGAGGTAATGCGCTAGGTTGGTGCGCTTCTCGTTTTCTTTGTCGCTTTGCAACATCTCAAAGCAGTGCCACAACAGGTTAAAAAATGGAAAGCCACACTGCCTCAAAAGAAAGTGATACAGTGAGTCTGCTGCCTGCAACCATTATACCCAAAATTGATATCATCTGATGCTGCCATATCCACCATGTAGAACTTGAATGTATGAACTGATGATCAAGTGCTTGCCTTACAACCCTGATAAATTGATGGTGGAAATTCCAGTATGCATTTACTGATCTCCTGGAGTGTGCTATAACTGGCAACATTAGTTCTTGGTACTTTAATGCCCTTGGACAATGGTTTGCCTGATGCAGAATGAAATTGTAGTAGTGGATGCTGCAAGGCCAGGGGTGGGCAAACTTTTTGACTTGAGTGCCGCAATGGGTTCATATATTGGACCCGGGGGCCGGACCAAGAGTAGATAAATGATGTGTATGTGTCATCCATAGTAAGTATAGTAGTATTCCCCCATAGTAAGCATAGTAATTCATCCCCCATATAGTAATTCATCCCCCATAGTAATTCATCCCCCATAGTAATTCATCCCCCCCATAGTAATTCATCCCCCATATAGTAATTCATCCCCCATATAGTAATTCATCCCCCATATAGTAATTCATCCCCCCCATAGTAATTCATCCCCCCATATAGTAATTCATCCCCCATATAGTAATTCATCCCCCATAGTAATTCATCCCCCATATAGTAATTCATCCCCCATATAGTAATTCATCCCCCATATTAAGTCCCCCCCTGTGTCAATTCACTTACCTTTGCTCCGCGCGTTCCTCTCGCTGTGTTCCCGCGCCGTGTTCCTGTTCCGGTGTAGCATGAAAATCTGTCTCCTATGAGGATCTGTCCCCCTCAACGTATCTGCGCATGTGCCAGTTTCAGGCATTAGCAGCTGATCGGCGATCTCCGGCACATGCGCAGATACGTCGAGGGGGACAGATCCTCATAGGAGACAGATTTTCATGCTACACCGGTCTTCAGGGCGGACTGTGAGAGGAGCCTAGCTCCCCTCACGTTCGTCACTCTGCCCCGCCTACACACATCCTGACAGCCATCCTGACAGTATCACGCGGGTTGGATTAAAAGGTCCGCCGGGCCATATACGGCCCGCGGGCCGTAGTTTGCCCATTGCTGTGCAAGGCCTTTATATGGGTCATCTGCAACCATGAACAGAGAATCTCACATTTGAAACCCAGGCATGGCATTCACATACACTAAATCCAAAGAATGTAAGGCAACTTCCTTAGGAAAGCATAATATATTTATTCAACCATCTTCGTCATGAAAGAGTCTTGACACAGGATGACCATATCCATATGGAGGGCCAAAAACAGAGGCTTGTAAAACTGATGCCATTTCCAAGACAATGTGTGCCAAAGTACTGGCTACTAGGCCTGTGCCCATTCTCCCTGATCCAGTACTTTCCTCTAAGATAGTCTGCGTTCACATTTTCTAACCCTGATAAGTCTACTGCAGACAGAGCTGGCACATGACCATCTGCCCAATTCGGGATGTGATTTTCTATGCTTTGCCCAAAATCTAACAAAACAAGATCCACCAGGGTGCCCCATTACTTCAGAAAAGCAAAACTTGACAGAGAGGGCAAGTAGATATGTGGACAGAGTACTGTGTCCATATGTACACATATTGCCTTCATACATTGAAGGCACCTGTGAATTTGTGAATTAAATCATCAATTTGACTATCACTCCGGATACATAGCTATACCTAGTATTACTAGCCTAGATGTAAAGGCATTGTATAGTAACATCAAGCATAAGGTAGCAATCCAGCCTTGTGCATACTTTTTAAGAGCTTACGGAAGGGATTTTCAAGAACATACCAAGTTTGTTTTACAGCTGCCTCAGTTTGTGTTGGAATACAATTACACTCTATTTATTGGCTCTGTTTATAAGCAGGCTGTAGGCACAGCTTGTGCCCTTATGTTTGCCAACCTTTTTTTTATGGGTTGGTGAAAAATGCCATTGTTTTTGGCGGATATACACATCAAGGATCTTGCTCTAGGCAAGGTTTGATGTATTCTTCTTGTGGAAGACATTGTAGAAATATTCTATTTGTTTGTGGAAGAATTAAATGCCAATAGCATTGTCGTGTTCTTTATCAGTGAGATCCAGATGGAGTCAATACATTTTTTGGATCTAAAAATAAGTGGGCATACTGATGGAAAGATACACCATTTACAGAAAGCAAACATCCACAAACAATCCACCCAAAATCACTGAAAAAAAAAACCCACTTCATTGCCTAAGGGAGTGGGCCTGTTTGAAGAAGGCTAGCGACAGCAAGCCACTAAAAGTCTGTAGTCCCCATTACTGCTGTGTGTTCTTTGATAATATGATTACCTCCCAATTTAAGTCTTGAAGAGTGGCTCTCAGCCTATCACATGGTATCTGAGCCAATCACAGCACTATATAACTTTCACACAAATTAATTAATATACACTTACTGGGATTTCTTTTTTACCAAAAACATGTATTAGAATACATTTTGGCCTAAATTAATGGAGAAATTTGATTTCCCCCCCCCCCCCCCCCCAGACATTGTCCAGGACAGCCCTTGAGAGATGAAGCTCCTTCCACAGGGACAGGAAACATGTTGCCACACGTCTTTAAAGACGTCTCCCTTAGGAACATGGTCAGTCATTTGTGTTTCCTCCATCCCGAGGGGGCATGTTGCCTAAGGAACTGGACTTATTTGAAAGTCCACCAAGCCATGGTCATTCCTAATCTGGTGAGTACTTGTCCACCCTCTCAAGGGTTGTCCTGGAAGATGACTGGGGGAAAACCAGCATTAGACTTACAGGACAGCACTCTCCCACCCTAGTTGCTCTGGTTGTCTATTGGTGTTTGTGTTTCTACATGTCTGCTCCATCCTACAGTTCTTGGGTTGACTGGCCATGTTTCTGAGGGACCACCTTTTAAAGACTTGTGGCAATGTGTTTCTGTCCCAGAACAAGGAGCTCCATCTCTTAAGGGTTGTTCTGGAAGACTACTGAAAATAGAGTTACCAGTAAGTAACTTTTTAATTTTTTATTGGATATGTTTTCTAACAAAATAGAAAATATCTTTTTTTTTTTTTTTTTAATTTTTGTCTTTTTTTGTCTCGTTTATATAATAAAAAATAAAAATCACAGTGGTGATCAAATACCACCAAAAGAAAACTATATAGTTGTGGAAAATGACAATGGTATAATGGAAAATTATATAAATTGTGTGTTGAATTACTGCACAAGCAGTTGTTTTCACTGTAGCTAAATAAAGACTTTGAGACAGATGTGTAAGTTTCTGGCTCTTCTCATCTATCTATTTTGTTCGGGAGTTTGGAGGACACTTGGAGCCAGAGCACATATTCAGATTCCTTCCATATTTATCCTGGGACCTTGAAGTGAGCGTTGCATCTGTTTTTCGTTTATGACCACGCAATTGCCAGTTAAAGTAGCACATTGATGAGTAGCAAAAAATGGTCATGGTCATGAAGGGGTTAAAATCTTCCAGAGCTTAAGTGGTTAATGAGATCATGTTATAGTCACTGTCATGTTCAGATCCTAGTTTGAACCCACCTGAGCTATTCCACCAAGAAGCTGTCAGTGCCCACTGCCAGTCATAAGCGGCTGAAGCATTCCCTGCCCTGCAGTCGCATGTATACAGTGGGGATCGAAAGTTTGGGCACCCCAGCTAAAAATTTGTATTAATGTGCATAAAGAAGCCAAGGAAAGATGTAAAAATCTCCAAAAGGCATCAAATTACAGATTAGACATTCTTATAATATGTCAACAAAAGTTAGATTTTATTTCCATCATTTACATTTTCAAAATAACAGAAAACAAAAAAATGGCGTCTGCAAAAGTTTGGGCACCCTGCAGAATTTATAGCATGCACTGCCCCCTTTGGCAAGTATCACAGCTTGTAAACGCTTTTTGTAGCCAGCCAAGTCTTTCAATTCTTGTTTGAGGTATCTTTGCCCATTCTTCCTTACAAAAGTCTTCCAGTTCTTTGAGATTTCTGGGCTGTCTGTCACGCACTGCTCTTTTAAGGTCTATCCATAGATTTTCAATGATGTTGAGGTCAGGAGATTGTGAAGGCCATGGCAAAACCTTCAGCCTTTGGAGATTTTTCCATCTTTCCTTGGCTTCTTTATGCACATTAATACAAATTTTTAGCTGGGGTGCCCAAACTTTCGATCCCCACTGTACATGCCTCTTGTATACATGTGGCTTTCCAACTCGACTGAACTCATTTCCAGTTACTGCTACCG